GAAATTTGCACAGCCGCCCCCAAAGTCCGAAGCGACTTTGAAAAGAATTCACAAATGTCCCTGCGGTCTGGCATCAGTCCTCTGGCATCTCGGGCAGCGAGATGAGTTTGGTTACCGGCCTAGTGTAAGTAGTCCCTTTAATGTCCACATCGGCAGAGCGGATTCGACCATCGTCACTTGGGATCACCTTAGTGACCCGACCAATGGGCCAACGTGCTCTTGGCAGTTGTTGATCCACAACCATGACCACCTGATCAGTGGTGAGGTCCGGCGTGTGAGTTTGCCATTTCCTCCTCTGGTGGAGGTTAGGCAGGTAGTTCCTTGTGAACTGGGTCCAGAAATGATCGGCTAACACCTGGCTGTGTTTCCAACGACGGCGTCCAATCAAGTCACTACTGGCATAGATAGCTTGCGGCAGAGAGGCATCCCGCCGCCCCATCAAAAGAAGGTTAGGAGTAATGGGGTCTGGGTCTGCAATGTCTGAAGTGGCATATCCAAGCGGTTTTGAGTTGAGGATACCTTCCACTTCTATGAGGACGGTCAGCAAGACCTCCTCAGGGAGCACTCTGTCTTTAAGAACGACTTGGAGGGCTGCTTTAACAGATTTGATCTCCCTCTCCCAAATACCTCCGAAATGCGGTGCATACGGTGGATTGTATTTGAAGGTGATTCTCTGCTCAGCCAGCTGCTCTTTCAAGGCTGGCTCCAGTACCTCAAATGCTCTCTGCAGTTCTCCGTCGCCCCCCCGGAAGTTAGTGGCTCTGTCGCTTAGGATCTCGTAAGGCTTGCCTCGTCTGGCCACAAAACGTCGTAAGGCAAGTAGGAATGAGTCTGTGTCCATACTGCACAAGAGGTCAGGTGCACACATCTTGTTGTCAAACATTTGAAAATTATGCCCCACCTCTTCTCTTGTCTGCGACCTATTTTGACAGCATATGGTCCAAAAACAGTCGATTCCTGTGGACCAATAAGGAGGTTTATGTAAGCGAAGGCGTGCATCTGGAAGGTCTGCCATACGTGGTACAGTGGGTTTGTTGCGCCATCTTTGGCACTCTGCACAGCTGTGTTGGTGCTTCTTTACAGCTTGGCGCCCACGGAGGATCCAATATGTCCGCCTTACTTCTGCGAACACACGTTCGGGACCAGGGTGCAGCAACTCGGTGTCGTAGTGTTGTATCAGCAGCCGGGTAGCAGGATGGTCAGGCGCTTAGGACAATAGGATGTATCATGTCCGGAGAGCCTTCTACCTTCCTCAACCGACCACCAACGCGCACCAAGCCCACCGCACTGTCATATTCTGGGCAAAGAGAAAGCAGACGACTGTTATTACTGAGTGGCTTACCTGTCTGCAGAGCAGCGACCTCTGCAGCGAAGCTCTCCTCCTGCGCTCGTCTGAGAACTGCAACTTCAGTCTCAATGCGGGCAGAGGCAGTCATCGGAGGAGCAGCCGCCCCGTGTAGGGACAGGTATGTCGCTTGGACCAGTTCAGACCAGGATTTATATTGAGTCGGGTCTGGAGCTGTGGGCGTGGCCGTCACAAGACCACAAAAGGTCACGTCTCGGCTCTCTTCTGGTGGAACAGAGACCGTAGCGGGCTTAACTGGCCATTCCCTGTGGGGCTGATACAGGAAACAAGGCCCACAGGTCCAGCGGCTGGGTTTTGCCAAGTCACTAAGATGTTTGCCACGCGTGGCATCATCAGCAGCATTGTCATTGGTTGGAACATAGCGCCAATTGTCCGCACCCACCAGCTCCTGAATTTCAGCAACACGAGTCCCTACAAACACTTTGTACTGCTGTGACTCTGACTGGATCCAATGGAGGACAGTAGTTGAATCTGTCCACAGTGTTGTAGTTTTCAACGGCAGCGTTAGTTCTGTTTGGATGACCTTTGCTAACTGAGCACCAGCCAGAGCGGCGCACAGTTCCAATCGAGGGATGGAGAGCTGCTTCTTTGGGGCTACTCGGGACCTGGCCAGAACAAAGGACACTTGCAATGCACCTGTAAAGTCATGCTCTGCCCTCAAATATGCAACTGCACCATATGCTCTCTCTGAGGCGTCTGTGAAGATGTGCAACTCCAGTGGCGTATCAGCTGGGACATTTGAGAGGTAACATCGGGGTATTGTCACATGCTGCAGCTGAGGTAGTTCACTCTCCCATGCCTGCCACACCGGAAGGAGCTCATCTGTGATTGGCTCATCCCAGTCTCGGCCTTTCTTCCACAGCGCTTGAACCAGCACCTTAGCACGGGTTGTGTAGGGAATAAGAAAGCCGAGTGGGTCATATTGGCTGGCCAGCACACGGTACACATACCTCAGAGTGGGTTGAGCAAGAGGAATAGCTCTATGTCTGTAACTGAGTGCGTCTGTGCTGCAGTTCCACAGAAGGCCCAGAGTAGACTCGAGAGGGTCCTCTTTATGAGCATTGAGCCATAACTCACAGGTGGCAGACTTTGCTTCAGCTGGCAGATGAGAGACAACATCAGGTACATTGGAGGACCACTGACGCATGTCAAAGCCTCCCTGGGCAAGGAGAGCTCTGAGCCTGTCGATGAGCTGTTTGGCCTGCTCTGGAGAGGGCAAGGACTGCAGGCAGTTGTCCACATACATAGATTGCAGCACTGTATTTAACGATATCCTCATTACCCTCACTGTAGTCCTGGACGTGGCGCTGTAGTGCATATATAGCACAACATGGGCTGCATGTCGTACCAAAGGGTAACACACGCCACTCGTAGACATCAGGACTGCGCTCTCTGTCTCCATCTCTCCACAGGAAACGAAGCAGTGGTTGATCTTGTGGGAGGAGCCTCACTTGATGGAACATGCCTCGAATATCACCGTTGATGGCCACAGTATATTCCCTGAAACGCAGAAGCACTGCAAGGAGTGAAGAACCGAGAGTCGGGCCTGGCATGAGGTTCTTATTAAGGCAGGCCTGTTGATGCACAAAAGAACAGTTAAAAACAACTCTGGATTTATTATTGTGGAAAACGAGGTGGTGTGGCAGGAACCATGACTCGTCTGAGTTGTTTACTTCTTCTGGACTGATTTTCACTGCATAACCTGATCTGACTAGTTTGTCCATTTCTTCATTGTAAATAAGCAATTGTTCAGGATTATGTGTGAGGCGGCGCTCGGTGGCTCTAAGGAGAGGCATGACTGCATTAGGTGAAGCCAATAGGTGAGATGCATTTTTCTTTCGCAGGAGGGGGACTGCATATCGACTCACACCATCTACTGTGACCCTAACACTCTGCTGCTCTAGTTGTTCTAGTGCTGCTTTGTCTTCTCCAGAGCGAGTGACCTCTTTGGTGGAACGAAAGGGCAGTGAATCCAATTGCCACAGTCGTTCCACCTGTTGATGTAGCTCCTCTGCAGGGGACAGAACTGATACGTGCAGGCAGCTGCTGTCACGAGGAGATTGTTGGAGGAAGCTGACTGGTCCCTGCACTGCCCATCCCAGGGCTGTGCACACAGCGACAGGACCACCAATGGGGCCAGATATGACAGGTTTCTTTGGAATGATGAGATGTGGGTTGTCTGATCCAATGAGAATCAGTGGTTGGATTTTATTAAAGGACGACAGCGGAACGTCCCTTAAATGTCTGTAGCCTCTCTGGAGATGCTCAGGGGAACAGGATTGCTCAGCCAGATTCAACTCTGCAGCTGTAAACGCGTTGTGAACCTTGAATCTCAGTCCATTCTTTGTTGGGGATGACACTTGGAATGACACAGTGGCACCTTTAATTTGGACTACTTCCTGTCTTATTGTCCTTAGAGAGAGTACTTCCGGCTGTTGTTGGAGATCAAGCTGTTGAACGGCAGCAGGCAGGATAACAGTGCGCTCAGAGCCGTCATCCAACACTGCATGTGTGTCCATATATTTACTCCCATTGTATATGCGGACTGGCACTACTTTTAACATCACTCTGCCTGAGTGACTGGCTTGATCGACGAATACCATACTTGAGGTAGTGTTAACAGTCAGGATGCTCTCTGCCTGAGCCACATCATGCAGCACAGGAAGATGTTGTTCTCCGCAGGTAGAACAAGGCTTCTTTAATGTGCAGTTAGCTGGAGAATGTCCTCGGCCACACCTCCAACATTTCTTATTGTCCTTTATCCAAGCTGCCCTGGCTGGATTTGAGAGCTTGGTGAAGTCATCACACCCGTTGAGGTAGTGCTCCTGATTGCAGCAGTAGGGACAGTATGGTTTGAATCTATCCCTCTTCTTTGCTTGCTGTGCACTAGGGGAAGCTAGGCGTGTGACTGTGGGCTGAGTTGATTCATTACTGCCAAACAATACAGCTGTATGACTTGGGCTTCTGTGTTTTGACTGCCCTCCTCTCTACACTACTGGTGTCGTATGAATGTGTCCCTATTCTACGGGATACCTGTAGGGTCTGCACTTTCCTCTCTAGCCACTCAGCTAGGTCTGGTAGCGTGTATGTCCTGTCACTGCCCTCTGAATAATACCCCTGCTGAAACAGTACTCAGCAAAGGAATCTCTTAAGTACGGGGGGTAGTTTTGTGAGCAGTGTGTCAACATGGGAACCACATTGCAACTCAGATGATGATGGGCCCTGCATAGAACTTAACATGCCTACCAGTGTGCTAACAGCTGCAGAAAAATCCTCCATGCCCTGGTAATCACCTGCTTTAACTGGGGGTGCGGTCAGGATGGATTGGAGCTCTGCCTGCACTAGCTGTCTAGGCTGACCATAACGCTGCTGAAGAGCTAACATAGCACTAGAGTAAGGAGTGGAGCTGTTTATGTATCTCTTTGCTATCTGCAAAGCGGCAGGGAATTTCAAATGATCCAAGAGGACTTGGTATTTGTAATCCTCAGTTAGATGGCTGTGGGGGCTGAGCACACTGTCTAAACCTTTTTTGAGTAACAGAAAATCACTCTCCTTCCCTGAACTGAATGCAGAAAGCTTAGGCTTGGGGATGCCGTATGAGGAGGCAATAGCCATTTCCACCATGCTAGGGACATTAGCACTGACAGGGGGAGGAGCTAAATATGGCTGGCTGACAGGTGCTGTAGGCGTACGAGTGCTGTTTGGAGTATATGCATTGGGGATACGCATACTGCTGTCTACTATGTGGATAATAGACAGGTGCACTATATGGATGTGAGGGAGGAGGTGCGCTGTAGGGCGTGCCTTGAGGAGCAACTACATGCGGTGCAACTACACTTCTGTGTGAGGTGTCGTACAGAGGGGGCAACAAAGCTGCTTGAGCGGGATCTACTGGAGGAGGAGGCGGTGGCCAGTACTCACCGGTCTCTGCTCCCTGGACTATACCTGCTGTGTAGTTTGGAGGCACTGCTGGTAGTAAAGGAGCTGCCACTGGTGCTGAAACACTAGCTTGCCCTGTCGGGGGAGGATGCTGCACAGGAGCTATGGGTGACAAAGGTACTATGGGGGAAGAATGCCCTGAACGTTCTGATGCATGCCATGACTGAAGAGGCTGGAGCTGTGGCATGCTGCTGTACTGCTGTTCCTGGGCATATCTATGCTTGGCAGGTTGGGCGCTTTGTGTCAGCCGAACGTTGCTCATTTCCGTCTGAAGTTCCCTCATTTGTCGACCGAGTGCCTGATAAGCTGACGCCAAATGCTGAATCCTGTCTTCATCATCATCATGAGAGGATGAAGTTGACCAGCTCTCGGGGCTTTGTGGTGGACGTTGGAATGAAAAGCCAACCTCATAGTCCTCCAGATGTCCGGGAATGCGACGCACTCTGCTGGGACGGGGACTGTGTAGTGGCTGCTCATCATAAAAGTCTCTGGATGTGGCCATGACGCAGCTCTTGGACATCCGGCTCGAAGGACCACTTGTAAAAGTTTATAATGTATTTGAATGCTGGGGTCCAAAAGTCCGGCCTAAGTCTTCGGCAAGAAAGACTGCAGCAGATCCAGAGTAGTAGGATGAAAGGTTTATTGCAGCTTGAACAGGTTGGGATGGATGCGTGAAACAAGAGCGTGTGTGTGTGTGTGTGTGGTTATCTGTGAACACACAAATGTAACATTGGAATTATTATAAAGCCTACAAAGTACACCACAACATGCATATACATTAACAATGTTGATATGAATAAAATTAAACACTATCAACAACGTACAACACAACATCAAATGAATAATTATCATTGTTGCACTTTGAAATGGCTCTGGATACAGTTTTGATGTTATTACAAAGTATGTCCACCAGAGGGCGCTAAAGTGTGCTACATGACGTAAGGCCGCAGTGGACCGCATGGTTAATGGCGATCATGCAGGAAAGTTTCCAAAGAGATGAAAACGAACTACAAACATATGTTGCTAAGTACACAATGCAAGCTAAAGACAGGACTACACAATATAATGGTGTGGACATACTCACATAGTCATTAAACGCACAACAACACGATGTGAGAAAGCTAAGAGAGAGCACGCTCTTCACTCGTTGCCCTCCTACAGCAGACTGCCCACCTGGACTCCTGTGCGCATGTCAGTGAGGGGCGAACTGTTCTTAAAGGTACAGTGTCATTGAAGCAGGGAAATTTGCACATATACAATATGTTATACTGGCTTCTGTTTTAAGCTAAAGCCTAGCTGTCAAAGTCAAGGCCCGGGGGCTAGATCCGGCCCGCAAAAGAATTATCTTGGCCCCAAGATGATATTTGATTAGTATTAGAACCGGCCCGAACAGAGCCATAAGAAGATATTATTTACGTAGTGTTCAGGACATGTGTTTTCTCTTTGGAGGAAGTTTGTTTTTGTCTGTGAGCCAAAATATTAGATTATTAATTCATCATTAAATAAAACACGACCCACTCTCAGGTCTCGGTGTTTTAATAAATATTGAACCAGTCCGGCTCTCGGCTTGAAGCAAATTTGTTTTTTTGGCTTTTTTTTTTATTTCCGTTATGACTTTGACTGTTAAACGCTCATGGATACAGAAGATTATAGACTTAGGTTAGGACAACAACTCTTAGTCATCTTTTTTTTCTATATTTTTTTTTTTTACTATCACTAGGGGAAATCATTTCTGCTTTGTTGCTGGACGTGTAATTAACTGCGCCTCAGAAACGGTCACACAATCCCCTCACCTCAGGAGCCCAATACCGCCTGTAAGGAGCGAAGGTTACTGCAATATCCTTTCATGACGATAGCCATTTTGAAATGATCCAGCGTGATTTGACAGTTTGGGGGAGATGATATGGCTTCGTATTGACCACACAGTCGTTTTGGAGGCGGACATTTGAGCAGGACGGATGTAAAGCTGTCAACATTGTTAAACTTGTTCACCTCCAAGGCAGTGTGCAGCCATCGCCCTGTCGGAGTGAGCTATAGGAGCCTGCTGAGAGGGACAGCCAGCCACCCGGACCATGCAGGTAGTATTCATCCATCTAATTAGCCGGGCCCAGGGCAAGGTTAGCGCACGCACTAATAACCGAATTTGTGATGGCCAATACATCATAATGAGAGGGAGCATCCCAGAAGGCAGTGCTGTAATCACTCCGGCTGACTCAGCGGCAATTATACGACGGCGCTGGACAGTCGACTGCACCCTGACACTGTTTATACCTGTCTGTCAACTTTACAATGGGTTTTCCAATGGTCTTATCTGTGTTTTATTATGATGGCTATGAATTAATGTATTGTTTATTTTTGTTTTTGTAACACGTTCATTTAAACTGGTGGGAGGATTAGCAACCACATTGTTGGAAGCTAATGGGGATCCCTAATAAACAATAAACAATACTTGATTTTTATCTTCTCAAAACTCACCTGTTTCAGCCTTTCCTTAATGTTGTTTTTCAATGTTTATTTCTATGTGTTTTGTAAATCGTCTTTGAGTGTCCAAAAAAGCACTATATAAGTTTGATGCATTATTAATATTATTTTATTTTTTTACATTAAAAACATTATCCATATATTTTTCTAAGTTATCATGTTCCTCTCTCCCTCATTTCAGTCATTCAAAAGTGCAAAGGCATGTGTATATTTCTGTCACTTGTTATCATTATATTTTTATTAGGGCTGGGACTCGATTAAAAAAATTAATCTAATTAATTAGAGGCTTTGTAATTAATTAATTAATCGCAATTAATCACATTTTAATCGCATACAAATATTTTACTTGAGAACAGTGAGAAGTAATTTTTTTCACATGGATTTTGAGTTTAACATTGAATAATGTTTATGTTCATTGTGGATGATAAGGGGATCAGACGGACTTCTTTCCATCAAAAAACATATCTGTCATTGCCTCCACACACCTCCTTCGCCTCCGCTCACAGGAGTCGCTGCTCCTCCTCCTCACACACAGAGCTCATTCCCGTTCTAACTCACTGGGATTTAGACACAGCTAAAGTTGGTCTATGCTTTTAATAATGTACTTTTGAACAAAGAAAGTCACGGAGCTCGAGTTGGTGCTCCAGTACAATCGGTCCGTCTGAAACTCATCCAGTGAGCAACGTTCCGAAAATGCGTCAATATTTTCAATGCGCTAATTTTTGTGGCGTTAATAAATCTTAATTAACTCGTTAAAGTCCCGGCCCTAATTCAACGATACAAAAAAGGGAGACAAACATACAACAATACAATACAATGGGATAAACAACAACAGATGCATGAGGTCGGGGACAGGGGCTCAGATGGTCGAGCAAGTCATCTGCTCCCGCTGATGTCTGCTGTTGTTGTGTCCCTGGGCAAGACACTTAACCCCACTTTGCCTGAAGCCCCTGCAGAAACACCAAGGCCATCTTCCCACGGACCCACCACCTGCAGGAGGATCAGCGAGGGGCCGGGGCTGTGTGACTTGTGGAGGAAGGACTTGAATCATTTCGTACCTGAGTCTTTCCTCTGGATTGGGAGTATTTCTGCCTCTTTTATAATCTAGTGGTATTGCTGAAAAGTCCAGTTGCAGACTATTTGCATCATGTTGCTATGGCTAATTCACAGGGGTGAGCTGGGAAAGCAGATTGGGTTCATGACACCGTGACACAGACTCATTTTGAAGTAAAAATCAGACTTCAAAGAAAAACACTGGGGGAAGAAACACATCACAAGATTATTATCCACTTTGAAGTAGCAGGAGATACGGCAGATAACTAAAACAAATGCTGCATTATGTTTGAGAAATGTTTAAATTGTTGCTCTTAAACTTAATAGTTACAAGGGACAAGTTACATCATGGGCTTCAAAGTCAAGGCCCGGGGACTGAATCTAGCCCACGAATGAATTATCTTGGCCCCAGGATGATAATTGAATTCAGAACTGATCGCACAGAGCCGTAAGAAAATATTGTATTCTTCATTGAATGCACAGAACATGTGTTTTTTCTTTTAAAGGAAGTTTGTTTTTGTCTCTGAGCCTGTTGAAAAATGTTTTCACTTGAAATTACTAACAGAGCCGTACAAAAGTAAGTAGGTCATGTTTATTTATATAGCGCATTTTACAGACCAAGGTCTAATCCTTTAAAAAACAGACGCTACACTGTATGAATCATTTTTATATGTTTCAATAAACGTTGAACCAGTCCGGCCCGTGGGTTGTAGACAATTAGGGTTTTTTTGGCAATCTATTGTATTTAACATTCCTGAGTTAGATGGATTTCATCACACAGTTCTTGTTTTGTGGTTTGACATGTAGGTACCCCAGCTTTAACCATAGCCACGTGCTGCCAGCCTGCCTTCAGTCAGTCCACTGTAAGGACTTCCACAGCTGATCCTCACTCACATTCATGAAATAATCTTGTAAACGACATATTATCTATCCCCTCATCAGTTAATATAGTTTTTAATTTGACCCGAAGGAAAGAGAGTCCACTAAAATGCAATACCACGTCACGATTCCCCGCTCTGACCTCCATGAACATACTTTGGGATCCCACATACATCTCACATGCACGGCTTGTACATTTTTAATTAGCTCTTCATTATTCATTAGCTCAGGTATAAAACTCATTTCCTTGGTCTGCTATAGCACCTCATAAACCGATGAGTGATGTTCCAGATAAAAAGTGGAGTAAATACACTTTTGTCCATTTATAGCCCCTCACTTGTCGTAAAGCCAATAAGACTCCGGCCTGCGACGTCCAATAAAAGTATATCCGAGCACGAGCTAAGACTAAATGTTGCTAATGCTAATATTCTGGCCACATCGAAGCAGTTTTGAATTCTCGTGTTTGGAGAAGCTTGTTGAGAGTTTGCACATATACTGTAGCACCAACAGCGTCTGCCTTGGTCATTTGGCCTCAGGGTTCTCATATGTTTTCCCATATTGCCAAAGCCAGTCTGCTGTAAAGAAATATCGCCCAGAACTGGAGTGGGCTGGAGGAGAGAGCGGAGCAATTTCCATTTGAATATTGCAGAAATATAAGCCTCATATTTTCAGAGGCAGGGGTCCCTTTGAAATCATACAACCCTCATATTTTTATAGGCAGAGGTCGCTTTGGAAAAAAAAAAGCATATATATGGAACACTTATTGTAGGCAAGGCAAGGCAAGGATATTTGTATAGCACAGTGTATACACAAGGCAAGTTCTTAACCTTAACCCTTGTGCAAACGGACCCACCACAGTACTTAAAAAAATACCCTGAAATATATACAAAATTGGGCTAAATCTGTATGATTTTTCCAGTGGGGGCAGGTCCCGGCTCAAAAGTGGCCAAAATGACGTGCGCTGACATGCTGCAATACCACCCCAGGTCGATGGGGGTGGACCATGGTTCTATTATATTAACTGGATAGGGTATTACTAGCTTGTAGCTGAATAACTCATGTGCTCAGGGGATTCTCGCGGTACTGCAGACTGAACCAGACTAAATTCACGCGGGCTACCCAGAAATTTTCCCCATAGAACTCAATGCATAATAAAACAGCTCAACCTCAGCTGACAGAGAACCTACAGCTTTAATAAAGATAGGATTTTGTGGGGATGTTAGTGTCCCTTGTCATCCTGAACTTTTTTTCTTCTTAAATCCTTCGGTTTTGTTTAAATCCACACTTTAGTGCCACAAACTCTGCCCATCTGGCTCTCGCTCTAACTCCCGCTCTGATGAACAGCTCTGATTGGTCAGAGCGCGGCCGAGCCCCTCTGTGCACGTGCGTGAGACCCGGTGTGAGACCCACACACGCGTGTTTGTGCAACGCATTATGGGAGATCATCCACTGCACAGAACCGGGAGGACCAGACGATGCCCAAATACAGGCGAGTTTCCCATAGATCTTTGTAAGTTCCAGGCGACTTCCGCTAATCTTTCAGCCCCCATGCCGTCACAAAGCGCCACTGAGCACAACCAGTCATTTGAATAGGGCGCCATCTTGGATCGCCGGGGCTTGGGGTGGACCCGGAATAAGAATTAGCCAATGCTAACATATAGCATTGGGAGACCTCTCGAAAGCGTCTTTACAGGATGGTCCAAAAGTTGGCTCTTGGCCCAAACCTCCGTTCCACATGTGTGTCAATGCTGAGGGAGGGTTCTGGACCAGTCTAATAATAATAATAATAATAATGCATCGGTTTTATATAGCGCTTTTTTGGACACTCAAAGACGCTTCACATGTGTCATTATTCATTCACTCCATACACGGTGGTGATAAACTACTACTGTAGCCACAGCTGCCCTGGGGCACACTGACAGAAGCGAGGCCCCCAGTCTGCGCCATCGGCCCCTCCGACCACCACCAACCATTCACACACACACCAGACTCATTCTAGGCAATGGGCGTGAAGTGTCTTGCCTAAGGACACAACGGCAGTTTGGCACTTTACAGCCGCAGCCGCCCCACTGTGGCTGGTGTCTAGTTTAGTCGCTGTGAATTTTTGAAGTCACTCATTCAAATGAATGGAGCTTGTGCAGCTGACACATGCGCAGATGCATTGTTTCACATTTTCCAGCCCCCGCGGCCATTTTGAATCACTCCATGAAAGCCCAATTTTTGGCCCATTAGTTAGAACGGCGGAGATAGGCGTGATTTTTCCTATAGCTTGACCAACCCTGCGTCATTTATATCCCAATTTAGGCTATTTTTCTTCTACTTTTAATGACTGTGGTGGGTATTTTCGAGCTGAGGCTACAGAATAAGATAGAAACAAAATAGATATTGTATGAAAACATAAATAATCACAGAACATCAAATAATAGGGATAAAAACAAAATCCCTCAAACGTATGCATCGCTAAACTCAACTGTTAACTAGACTATTTTCTTATGCTGATACGTATCTAAGTTAATTTCTTTCTTTCTTTTTTCTCGGTTCATAACTTTCAACTAATCCGAGCTGAACAAAACAAAAATGATACGCCAGCAAAAAGGGTGCTACACATTTGTAAATGTCAAACTTAAAGGGCAAAGCCAGTTTCATTTACAGCCAAAATCTCTCTATGGTGTGAGCACTAACTTCTCATTAATTAAAGACATATTGTAAAACGGAGCTCTCTTACAACCATCTGTCTGTTCTCTGCACTTCATTACTGTTGCCACTTCCCTTTAACGCGAATATGACCTGGGGACAGAGCCCTTTGCTGCTACTGTACAACGGCACGTGCCTACATGCGACGGAGAAAGAACCGTGAAAACAACAGTATGGCTTTTAAAAGTTGCAGCAGGAAACAAAATGCATATTAATTCAGCCAGCCTTGCACTTGTGAAATAGGCAGACACGAAGCTGCAGGCAAGAATAACACGCACCAGTTTTCCAGATTGTGAAATTGTGGAGGTGAACTGCAGGTCCAGGCACTTTTTATATACTTTGAAAAAAACAAATTGTATAAAAGCTCTTCTGCGTATGCATTCACTCGCTTCGTTTTCATTTCAACGGACCAGATGGATAGAAGTAAGAAGCTGAAGACTCGGCACAGATGCTAAAACCTGATTCTTGTGTCTGTTCCGATGGGCAAGCCAAAAAAGTCACTGACTAAATTGGCTTAAAGAGTAGATTGGATGTGAAAGGTACAAGTGCATCGTGAAGTAGGAATAGATTGGGATGAATGAAGCATGGAGGTGTTCGAACGTGCTGTCTGCCATAGTTAGCCACATATACAGGCAAGACTAGTTCGCTGCCAGGTGAAATCCTTGCCATTTCTATTAGAAGCACCACTGGGCTGGAAAATTACAAAGATCAACATTGCCATTCTAAACGTCCACATACTATACATGCATCGTTTTGAAGCAATTGTACAACTCTATGCCAGATTATAGGGTGCTCTCTGCTGCTGCTGCTGCTGCTAATACTGGGTGTGGAACTAGCACCATGGTCAGCTCCCTAACCAAAACGCATTTTCCCCTTCGCCTGCAGTGACAGTAGAGCCCGGGCGCTGTGTACATGCAAACAATGTATTGGAAAGTAAAGTGGTAACCCGACGCGACTGAAGTCATTGAAAACAGGGGCCTAATCGCCATCCAGTCCACGGGCTCTCCTTTACGCGCCACACGATCCACCTGCCTCTACTGTCCTGACGTCACCCCGCGCACAGGGACTGCCCATCATGAAACCAAATAGGTTAAACTTACTGTATGGCGTGGAAAGCGTTAATGGTGTCACCTAACCGCTCTGATTACTGCTCCTCTGGTCTAGTCATGTATCATTAATTGCATATTAATTGGTCGCTTTTGTAGAAGCGTTTGCATCGTGCGTAAAAAGGAGATAAAAGAGAAAGTATTGTGTGTTTTTATTGTGCTGGATTTAATATAGGATGGATAGTTTCTCTTTCGTTGAATTTGACTAGTTAAGTGTGCTTTAAGTGGATGGAAATGGTCTCATAAATCTCTCGTGTAGTGTAACGTCTGCATAATACAGTGTACGAAGCGCCAATAGCCGTGCGCTCTCTCTCCCCCACTGGTCTACGCACATCCTTCCATGTGGCTCTCTCTCCTCTTCTCAGTCTGTGGTGCGTGTCTCTGCTTCGCCAGCCCCCTCAGCCATTGGCCTCGGAGTCTCATCAGTCTTCCCTTCACAACAATAGACCCCCCCTCGGGCAGACAGACGCGCACTACACCGCTCCGGAGCCGACACAAAGCAGCGCACTCGGGGCTTTCGAGGAGCGGCAGTGAGATGTTGGCTGAACTCTTCGCTTCTTCTTCTTATTCCCACTCCTTTCTTCACTGCTCCCGGTCGGCGAGAAGCGGATGGGGAGTCAAGGCGATGCGCGCAACCGGGGCCAGGCGGAGTTGTAAATAAGGAGTAGCTGTTTTATTATCACGAAGATGACTGACTGGTGACAAAGAAACCGGGGTGCCCCCTCTGGATTCGGTCACAACAACTTGACGGAGGCGATTTGAGGGATTGGCTTTTGTTTTAATTGCCAAATAATTACGCTCTTCTTTATTCTGGAGAAATCATGCCTGTCCGGAGAGGTCATGTTGCGCCGCAAAACACCTTTTTGGGAGTAATTATTCGGAAATTCGAGGGACAAAGTGAGTATACGTCTCCCCTGTGCCCTGCGTATGTGTGGGTGCTCTGTATGTGGTGCATGCTGTGGATCTGTGCACCTGAGCTTTCACCTTAAACTACATCAGAAATACCAGCCATTGGCCTGATTAGCTGTTGTTATTGTTGTTTCCACTGCTTCTCACTTGCCTCTGAAGCAGGAGAAGTTCACAATGCTCTCAGTGTTGTGACTACCACCTCGTGAGATTCAATTAAACTAAAAAAACAAAAACTGCTCTAACATCTGAGACGTTGGGATCAAATAGTTCAAAATGCTTTTATGTCTCCCTAATTAATGTAGGTTGATAATACAGCCTTTCAGGAGCACTCTCACATCATGGAAACTTCAATCAATGTAATGGTCATCATGTTCGGATTGAAGTTGTGCAGTTATTATCTTGTTGTTAGTGTAAGTTTCCTCTTCATCAAGTGTAAATGATGATGATGATGAGAAAACATGATGTGTCTGATAATGCAGAACACGGATCAGACCGCACTGAAGCGAAAAGATAGTATCATGTTATGGCTGATACTTTATGGCTATGGATACTGTGTTGAACAAATAACAATTTCCCTCCCCCATGTCTCCCTTCTGTGTTACAGATAAAAAATTCATCATAGCCAATGCCCGGGTGCAGAACTGTGCGATCATCTACTGTAACGATGGCTTCTGTGAGATGACGGGCTTCTCTCGGCCTGATGTCATGCAGAAGCCCTGCACTTGTGACTTCCTCCATGGAGAGTTCACCAGTCGACACTCTGTGGCCCAGATGGCCCAGGCTCTGCTGGGCTCAGAGGAGCGCAAGGTGGAGATCACCTACCACCGCAAAGACGGTGAGCACTCTGTAACTTTTCACCTTCTGCCGATGCTGCTTTAACAGGTTACGACACCACACAGGTTCCCAAAGGTCCAAACAACATCAAGAGACTGACACTGGTGCTCTTTTTGGTTGTATGTCTGCTCTATTTGCTGCAGCAAAAGAGTGAGTGCTCCATTTGGGGCCTGAGGGGGAGACCAGCAGCTGTGATGGTTCCTCTGACAAGGTCCAGTGTGAACCGCTGCACAGCAGTGGCTGTAAAGATGTTCATTAGCCTGCGCTGGCCACAGAGGAGGATGTAGCTCACATCCCTGTAGGTTTGTGAGAGAGGTGTGAGCTGCACATTTAGCTGCCTCCTGCTTTTCTGCTTATTCACTGTATTTGCAAAGTGTACACTACTCTAAAGTTGGAAGTCTGTTTGTTGTGTTCAAGCGTGGCCACTTAAAAGGCCCTTTGAGCTGCTGCTGCTGCTGCTTATGAATAGTGCATGTTGTCCACGATGCAGTGACATGTCGTATTGATTTAGAGAGTTACAAGGTGAGCTCTAAAGTGAAAGTTTAAACCAGCTGAAACTAATGTAATGGTTCACCCAGAGTTTATGTGCTGACCTCCAACAATGACACTCAGCAGGCAGCGAGAGGATGATGCTTACTTGCGTAATATTTGAAGTCCATGAAAACCTATAGGCTGCACACCACACAATACCTCTTCATATACCGTACGTAGTGCATGTGCAGATGTGCGGAGCAGGGGTTATCTTTAATAGAAGCACCTACAGAATAAAAAAACTACCATAAGGAAGTGAGTGACAGGGTTCTGACTCCACACATTGTTCACAGCAGTTTAAATGTGGATAATGTGGATAATGTGGCCATACTGATACAGAACACTGATACACGGTGACAACCTGCAGATTTTCACTGTCACTTTAATTTGGATGTTTGTAATTGTCGACTTTTGCCTATGTCAGTAAAACTCCAACGTGCAGGTGAAGAGGCCCAGTGGGAAAACGTGACATAGATTAGGTTGAGGATGGTTTACAGAGCACTTTGAAATGATAGTCTCCTTGGAGGAATGGAGTTTCAGGTCAGAGGTTGAAAAGAGCAGATAAAGCTGAGGAAAGCACTTGAGGGAGCAGTCACAGAGGACATACCAGCTTATTTCCGATTGGTGGGCTACAGCTTGTGACCCCCAGGGCTTCACTCACTCACCTCTCTCTGATATGTATTTGGGTTCTGTGGTTCACCCCTTTACTTAGGCCATATGGGAATGTTGTTAAGCTAATTAACCCAACCATTTTCAGACCGAATGAGCCTCTTTAGGATGTACTCTAATTTTGTACACATTACACAGAGACATACAGTCATGAGCTGTGGAGGCAGGGCAGTAACAGGTCTGACACCTCTCTGCTGCTGTCAAAGCAGGGGTTCAGTCCAGATTGATCTGCTGAGCAAACAGCATTAATGAGGACACAAGTACCTTCATGTTGCATTGATCTTCCGACCGGTGCATTGGAAAAGGGGAAATCAATGGCGGCCCTAACGCCCTCCATGTGCTGACCGGCCCACTGGAGACTGGGATAAAAAGAGCTGGAGGTCTGCTTGCTGTTGGACCCTGCAGCAAGGGAAAAGCCCTCATTACCATCCTGTTTTGTGTGCCTCTAATTACCTTAGTGTTTTCCTCCTACTGGACCCCAGGACCTCAAGGGAAGGTCATAGAACTGTTTTACCCGGCCGTGAAGTCCTTATCATGTGCTTTGGTGAGCAACTGAACTCATAATTCATTTACTGTAGAGCTCTAAATCCCCTTGTAATCTGATGTTTTTGCTAATTCTTTGGTTTTCTCCTAAACCAAATCCACACAAACGTTACACTAAAAAGTTCATCCAGGACACAACTTTTATGGACATGTATCAACAGTTATGGGATGGAGTGGACATTGGTCCTCCCCCTTATGGACCCATCACTTTTCTATCATTGCATTTCTTGTGTTTGAAGTGTTTGATTCTCTGATCTGTGTTGGCAAATTCAGCGGTTTTGTAAAGTCCTCTGACATAACTACTGTTTATTTAGGGCTATACAAGAATACAATGAATTGAAAGTTGTTGAGAATAGTCAGTGTGAACCTTAGCGCAGAAGCATTAGAGCCATGCTTCTGCACAATATGGAGAGATTTGCTGAGCTCACGCCGCCTATTTTTATGAGAGTATGTATCGGCATTGCAGGAGAAATGTCATTGCAGCCGGCTGATTGCTCCTCTTGTGGTGGCTCCGCTGTGGCTTGTGCGAGGCAATCTTTTCCTGTTTAATCCCCCGACCCGGGTCTACACAGCCACGCCGTCCGTCCTTATCCACGGCGTGAAGGAGACACGTTTCGTCAGCACATTCTTTGACACGTTCTTAATGCTTTATGATTTGTCCGTCATACAAATGGCCTTGGCGCTCCCTCGGTCTGTAGCTGCCCTCAACAGCGCCAGGGACTGTCATTAAAGTTCATTCATTTTCTCTTAACTCGACAGTTTGACCACGGTCTCGTCAGCGTTTTTTTGAGCTACGTTTATCTGCTTCAGCGTTACTGCTTTGACACGTGTGACTTAATAATCAAGTGACATAGTTCTCACCAAGCCTCGGATTCAAGCTGTTAAGTAAAAGTGTGTTTTGTAATTAACCTAGTTCTAAACTTTGTTAGTGAGAAAACATCTTTGTCGTAGGAGTGACGCACTTGGGCTATTTTGTGCTGCTTTGTTGTCAGTACTAGATTCTATTTTTGCTTTAGAAAAATATGCTGTCCTTACGCACACTTTGATTTATGGTTGTGTTAGATGGAAAATTATGAAACTAAATGTAGAAAGTTCATTTTGTCTTCTTATGCTAGAGGCTTTAAAGGTTCTTTTAATGAGACAAAAAAGAAAAAAAATAGTAGTAGTAGTCGTAATCTTTATTTATATACCGCCTTTCACAGACCAGAGTCACAAGGCAGTTTACAATTGTTATATTTTGGGCTGTTGTCTCTCACTCCACACAGAGATGGGAGCGGGCCAGTACAGGAGGCGCATGCCAGACCCATTGTACATGTTTTTAGTGGTAGGGGAAACCGGAGTACCCGGAGGAAACCTACGCAGACACGGGGAGAACATGCAAACTCCACTCAGAAAGGCCCTGAAAAGCTAGTACTGCTTAATGACCTGACATGTTTGGGCGGCACACTTCCTCCTTCATCAGCTGTTGTCGCCGGATACTGACCACGAATCAGCAATATCAGACCACTGCAAAAGAGAAAATCACATCATGGACTGGGACAATGCAAAAATAGTCGGAACAGAAGAACATAAATACAAAAGATGGATACGAGAGGCGATTGAAATCAGGAAGCGGGGCGCACGGACCATGAACAGAAACGAGGGGCCCTTCACCTTGGCTCACACTTGGGACTCACTTCTGTAGAGACCACAACGCGGCGGGGGAAGTGGTCAGTCTCAGTCTTTTTTGCTTTTTTGTCTTATTAAAAGAACCTTTAAAGCCTTAAATCATGAAACTATTTGAAAGTATGAAAACAAATTTAGTCTATTGTCTGCAAACAGTAAAATTCATACATATTTTAAACAATATAAAACTACGAGTCCAGTCTCACTCAGTCCCACTCAGTCGCATTCACATTCTCTTTTTAATGTCTCATCAAAGGGGTATCAAAGTGCATGGACGCTATAAACAGACCCATCACAGAGAGGCGGTGGGATCAAAATAGACATCAAATAGAGAAATCAGACAGAGGGATAATAACGATGGATTTTTACATTGAGATTACTTTGGGACTGGTGTTTTCAAAGGCTCAGCGCGGAGAGAAGATGACAAGTTTTTGGAGAAAACAACTCTCTTCAGGCAAAGTCACATCCACGTTGTATAGTTCTAGCAGTTCAATACGAGGAATAACATGTTTTACACTGCCCCTGGATGCACAATGTCAATAGCATACATTTCAAACTCAGGCTCGTCGGCCAAATCTGGTCCACAAGACGATTGTTATGGCCCATAAAATGATTTTCTATTGTTATTTTGAACTTGCTGCAGCGATAGTTATGGGCGAGCACGGCGTGTTATACATTATCTAATCTCACACACAACCACATTACATTTATTCTAAAACGTTTACCCAACACATCATCAGAAGTCTATAACAGCTAAATATAAAACAATTGTATAACTTTATAAATGGTCAAGTTTTGGTTAAATCTAAACAATGAACACAAATTGTTTTCATTAAAATCACAGAAAACACACTGAAACTCGCATCACATTGAAGTCCTGTCAAAACACAACGTAAAAAACATTGAAGAAAGAAATCATTTATATTTTTTCCCTTCTACTTGTATTCGGCCCCTGACCAAAATGAGTTTGACACCTCTGGGTATAGACTGAATAGCAAACAGTACTTATTCTATAGAACTAGTTACCTAAGAGCTACCGTCTGCAGAGCACAGACAGTGGAGAAAGAAGAGAAAATGTCATCCTATATATAGATGCGTTGATTGTGCCTCGATGCTGCGTAGCTAACGTGTCCGTGCCACAGAGAGCCCCTGTACAGCTGCAATCACTGGATTCTGAGAAGGTTTTATCCGTCTGCAGATCCGTATACGAAGACTGCAGATGGGAAAGCACGCCGCTAAAGGCATTCAATCATTTAGAGAGGCTGGAATTTACTCTTTAAGTGAATAGTCTGGAATCTCTGCGATCACATGACAGTGGAGAGCAGCATGTGACCACCTACGGGATGTGTTTACGACTAGTGCCATTGTACATGCTGCTACTGGACACTTGAGGTCTAGTGGGACAACAATAGGAACAGTTCCTGGCCAGAAAAATCATTAAAAATGTCATTTCAGTTGAGAGGACACATATTCTACAAAGAAAACAATCTTCAGCTGTCTATACAGAATACGCTGATCAATATGTTGCTTTAGTTCTGCACTACACTGGAATATTGATCAAAAACAGATCTGTTAAAGAAAGAAATATTGAATTGCTTATACGCTGATGCAGATTCCTGGGAGTTCCTGTTTACAAAGCACTAAAAAACGTTATTAATGAGTGTATGACTTGAATTGAATGAAGTCAGTTAATCTCTATCAAACACTGCCGAGCACCAACCAGACGATTTTCATGTCGGTGTTGTTGAATCTATACCATATACATGCATCTTTGGAGTATTTTAAAGGAGCAGTGTGTAATAATCTGGCCAAAAGGGGTACTGCAGCCTCTGCCACTCTCCCTGACTCAGGTTGCCAGATATGCAGAAGAATCCATCAG